TATTTATTCTACTTGCCACAAAGAGAAACAATCTTACTTTGCTATCGAGAATGGAGGGATTTTCCTGGTGGTGGTTTAAGTAATTGTACTGAGTTTTCCACTTAAAAAAAAAAAAAACTTTGAAAAATAATGAATATTGAATTTACTGGGAATATATTAAAAAGTTCTGAGATAAATTCTTAAAGTATAATTTATATTATTTGTAACAATATAGCATATTTGACATACTAAAATCTTTGCATTTAAGGTCATATATTTATAAAAATTATTACATTAAAAACTAAAATCTAATTTTTTGGTGTTTATGATATAAATTTCAAAAAAATCCTTAAAATTATTTTGGAATAAATCAGGATGAAATCACACAGTTGGGAATTTAGGCTTTCATGTCTGCGGATAAAAAATGTTTACAATCGTAGCACAGAATACTCTGAAGTTAAAATGTATTTGGGAAATACTTTGTCATATTCCCTCTCAAGAACAACGATGCTTTAAATATATATAAGTCAAGCAAAATCAATATTTAGGACTGTTAGAAATGGAAGTCTGCCTACAGCTATATCACTTTACTACAATAAAATATTTTAAAACCATGAGACTGGCAAAGTTTTCTAAACAGCATAAATTTCTTTGCCTTTTGAACTAAATCAGACACACACTTCTGAGAATCATCTCCCTAAGACTCTCTCGTTCCCCTCTTTGTCATTTTTAGTTGAGTCTTTTAAAAGGGAGACTAAATTTAGCTTCAAAGAAGTAATCCACTGGTTTCTTTTGGTGTTGGACATTATATTTTTCAGGTAGCAATGTGTGAGCAAACCTTGCAGCTTTCACAGGTGAGGAGCCCATAATGGTACCCAGACACTTTATCTCCACATACGGGACAAAGCTCTTCCAGATCTTCATCATAGGAGTAATTCACCATTTTAAATTGAGACACTGAAACAAAAGAAAAATGTATACACATATTCAATTAATTTCCATGTAGGTGTTATTCCACCAACAAGCATTTTGGTGACTGCTGGGCAAATATCACATGGTAAATTATAAAATAAAAATATTTTTTAGCAAGGTCTTACTGAACTATTTTTACAACTAAAATATCTTTTGTCAATGAGCATGCACCTTATGAAATTCCATGTGCCACAATCAATTCCAACTTCTTTAGTTAACATTTTAAACTGACCACTTTTGAACACAAGTCTCATAACTCCACAAAGCAGCAAATAGAGAAATGAATTGCATAAAGTACCAGCTTAGAATTTCTTTTAAATACCTATGAAGTTAAGTTCCAAAACGTCACCTTCGCCTAAGTTAGAGAAACAAGCTAAGCTATATTCCCTCCCTCTTGAAGTGGTTTGCTCCAAGTGCACCTTGCTTAGAGGGACAGCAGCACCAATTTGCAAACTCTGTCCGACAGAGAAACTGAAGCCCCAGAGACCCGCTTCTCAACAGCACCCCACTTGAACTAAACAGCCTGAGGCTCCCAACGTCCAGCTCTATTAGAATAATCGAAACATTCAGTTCCGTATTGACAATACTTTTCTATTCTGGATATTTTCATCTCCTCACGTTTGAAAATCTGTGAAAATAAAAAGACGGAAAAAGAAAATAGAGGACGCTGGTACCGGGGAGAAAAATACCAGAAGAGTAAAAGGCACACAGAAGGGTTTTGGTTTCAAAGTATCGGAGCCCTGTAATGAACCTCACATGTTTCCGATCATCATAGCAAAATATAAACACCTCGAGATCGCCCTGTTAATGTTAAACAGAAATCAGGCCGCGACGACGCGCGGCGCGGCTCACTGCCGGGGTCGGGTAACCGCCTTGTTCCGAACGCAGCCCCGCGAAGGCGTCTTCTCAGCTAAAAAGATGACAAACTATGCACAGGAAGGGCAGTGACCAGGAGACCCCAGGAAGTACCTGATCCGGTATTTCCTGGAGACTCCACATCCACACGGGTCAAGTACGGGAGCGCGGGGCACGGGTGGGCGGGCACCCGCAGGTCTACGCAGCCGGGACCCTGCCCGCACTCCCCCGGGCACCCTTCCGCCAAACCCGTGGGCGCACCCGGCTTTCGCCCAGGCTCTACCTCCAGCTACCCAAGTGGGCACAAACACGGAGCAGAGTTTGTTTTTAGTTAATCAGTGGCGTTTGCAGGGGGTGGGGCGGGCGGGGGATGGGAAACCCACGGCCTGTCAGAAGTTTCCTCTGATTTGTTTACCAAAAAGGAAAGAGAAATAGCCCCCACCCCATCGCCAAAGTCCTCGGCCACTGTATAGCCGCAGTGATTACTTGTTCTTTTGAAAATAAAGTTCTTTTCTTTCTCGTTGGTTCCCGAGGGCTTCAGTCGGAAAGGGCCGTCGGGGGGTGGGGGTCACTTGCAGCACTTTGCGGCTGAGAACAGAGCGCAGACCCGCGGAGTTACGCGTCTCTTCCCGAGACACACAGCCCTAGGCCGGCGCTTACAGGGGAGTGACTTAGTCAGAGTTTGGGAAAATTCTGGGAAAAGAGTCTCCAGAGAAGGCAGGATCCTTCGTGAAATATTAATAAAGGGATGCTAGGCGCAGTCCTCCCAGCGGTGCCAGCCTGAATCCCAGCCCCAAGAGACCCCTGCTAGAGCTTTAGGAACCTGGGGTTTGGGAAGGGCCGAGGGTTCAGAAATTCCTTTATAGCCCCTAGACGCTCATGGCTCTCCTAACACTCGGAATGACAGTCTTGAGGCATGATTTAGCAACAAGGCGAAAAGCGCACTTTCCCAAGTGTGTTCTTTTCTACCTCTCTTTCCCCCAACAAAGTAGACCCTAACTTTACAACAAAGGGGCACAGATAGGTAACTGCTTTCAGGCGGATTCCGTGCCTACCTCTGGGACCCGACATCGAAAAAAGACCGAGGCATGAGGTAGGGACCTTCTTGGAAAACCCAAAGACAGAAGCTGAGTAGGGAGACGCTGCTATGCGAGGCCTGGGCACCTTTCAGAGCTTCCCAGAAGGCTTGGTGCTGCAGAAAGAGGCGTTTGGCTGGGCGAACCCATAGGGGCAAAGAAGGCCCCAGACTCTTCCTCAGTTATGGTCTAGAGAAAGAAGAGCGGCTGGCGGTGCTTTGGAAAGCCTTGGAAAGCTGGGACCTTAGAGAGGCGCACAAAGTTCCCTCAAAGTTGGGCGCGCTGCGCTGTCCCGGGCCCCAGCAGTGGATCTTCTTTCTGGGAGTCCCAGGTGGGAACCAGAGCAAGCAGGAGAAGGGGATCCCCATTCCCAGGGGCTCCTCCAGACAGACAGGCCTCTAGTCCACGACAAATCCTTGACGCGGCGCTTTCCATGCAAATTTTGAACCACGGGCTGAATGAGTGGCGACTTTGAGCCCAGGCACTAAAGAAAAGCTAATTCTCTGGTTTGGGGGCAGTAGGTAGTGTGTCCAGAAGACACCTCTCGAACTTTCTAAAGCAAACATTACCAATAACATTTCTCTCTCCGCTCTCAAAATAAGCCTTTGGCTTCTTGCGCCAGAACAACAAACAGAAACTTTCCTTTTGGGCCTCACCCAGCGACCCCAAGGGAAGGCCCTCTCCGGAGCTGGCAGCTGAGGCCCCGGAACCCAGCCTCCCAGCCCTACTTCCCCGATGTCCCACTCTAAGCTGGAATTCCAGGTACCCGGAGGAAACGTTTCTTTGGACCAGCCGGGTTCCCCTAGCAGCCGTAGTCTCTGGGGCCTCAGCTCCGGGGGACTCTCACAGCCCTACCTAGACGCTTGGCGACACCCCAGGATGACCGAGGGGGTAATGGATTACACCCTCAGGGTGTTCGCCCTCCAGCCAAGTATCTTCCCCTCCGCGGTAGGGCTACGACAGGTCCTCGGGCCTGAGCGCCCGGGCGCGCCGCCCACTCAGCACCGCAGAGTGCACCAGTCCTGAACTCTGCTCTCAACACCTCCCGGCCCTTTCAAGTTCGCGCAAGGGGATGGCAGGAAGCATTCCGGGATCACAGGCCCGCCGGCCCGTACATCCTGCACCCTGGAAGGGGCGAGGATGGAAGAGCACCGGTGACTTTTCCTAGCATTGTTCCCTCCGGAGCCCAGAGCAAATGAGATAAACTTCTGAAGGGTTTAATACAAGCCAGATCTAGAATTGCTATTTGGAATGAGAAGAAAATACGGCCAGCGGGGATTGTTTTTTTGTTGGCAATCTAGAGCTGGGAAAACGAATGGGACTTCCATATTTTCAGATCTCAGATTTAAAAGGGGCGCAATAAACGAACCGCCTCCCCCTCCCACCTCCAACTCACTCGGCACAACGCGCACAGGGGATCAGTTTGGGGTAACTGGTTCCCTTCAGCAGTTTTGAACTGTCCAAATCTGAGCCGGCTGCAGGTGTCCGCCTGGGCTTTTGGGGGTGGCCACATGCATTTTAATACCGCTAAGACAAGCCTTTCGGGGATCACCTCTTTGTGTAGTGGACTTTCCCAGACTGGGTCGTCTCCCTCCACACAAGACCATTGGTTACAGAACAGCATACACAATTCCAGTAACGGAGAACTGCTCGGGTTTCCAGTGAGACATTCCACTTTTTAGAATGATCTTGTTATTCTAAAGTACCTTTAGCCTGAAGCTGCCCTGCTTGGGTTGCCATAGAGCTGGAAGCTTCTCTTTCCTTAATTAGAAGCGGCCAATTAGACGTCGCTGGGAAAACCTCTGCCCCGCATTGTTCAAGAGCCATAAACTTTTATGCCTGCACCTGAGGAGGGGGCTTGACTCCCGCGGCCGCAAGCGCCCAGCCCGGCGACTCCAGCGCCCGTGCGGGGCTGGAGGCTGAAGCCTGCTGGGCGAGCCCGGGGGTGGGGAAGCCGCTGGAGCCCGAACGCCGAGCGGCGCCTCCTTACCTTGCATGTTTTCCGGCATCTGGCCCTGTTCCCCATGCGATCGAGCCAGTCCCAGGGCTTCCGTCTCCACTTTGGGCAGCATGACAAGGCGGCCGCGGGCGGGGATGGGGGGTCCGTGTCGGTCCTGAAGCCCAGCACCTGGACACGGGCAGCACAGATTCAACTCCGGAGGAAAGAAGGAAGGGGCGACTGGGGTGCCCGCTCACCCACCCGCTCGCCTCGCCGGAGCGTTCCTCTGCCTCCTCGGGGCTGCCGGGCAGGACCTCTGAGCCCTGTCGGGTCTCGCGGCTCCTGAGCCGCCCTAGAGCTGCGAGAAGGAGGTCGGGGTTAAGAAAGGAGGCGAGGAAGACAGCGTCCCGGCACCCTGGTTCGGCTCCGCCAGGGCGCAGGCGGCGACGGTGGAGGGGACGCAGCTGCCCCGGCCGCGGAGCCGTGAACCGCCGAGCTCCGGGAGGGCAGCGGAGGCGACCGCGGGGCTGCTATTGCCGCCGCGGCGGTGCCGTTGCCACCGCTCCAGGACGGCTCCGGTGACTCCTTCCTTTCCCTCCACCGCCCGCTGCTCAGGATCCGCAGGGGTCTCTCTGCTCTTTCTCTCTCTCCCTTTTCTCTCCGCACCTCTCCTCTCTTCGCCTCTCCGCCCCTTCCCCCTATCTCTCTGTGCCTCCCTCTCGCTCACTATCACAAGTGTGGAGTTGTGAAGTTCCAACCTTCCTCTCCTGCCTCGTGCACTCCCCGCGCGGATCCGGGAGCTGCCCTTCCCAGCCCCGAGGGTGACGGTGCTGGGAAGGACAGGGGGAAGACGAGGAGAAGGAGGTAAGTAGGGCCGGGGGTGGGGGGAAGGCTGGGATGAGGGGTGAAGGCAGTGAATGGGGACGCGGGTTCCGGACTCAGGTCGGACACTAACCGCCAGCCAATAAGGATGAGGCGCTGGCTGCAGTCCCCCGGCCTGCCCCAACCTCTGCACCCGCCTCGCCCCCTCCCACCCCACCCTGGCCCGGGGCGGGGGATGTAAATGCAGCCGGGTCTTACAGCTAGTCAGAAGCGACCTCTGTCTGAGCGCGGCGGCGAAGGAGAAGCAGCCAGAGCGGCAGTTTCCTCGAGCTGAAGGAAAGCAAGAAGGGATGGGGGCGCGTGTGGGCGTGTGCCCTCGCTAGTGTGTCGGATGGGGAGATGAAGGGGAGGTAAACACCCATTTAAACTACCGAAATAAGAAAAGGGATCTTGATCAGCTGGCCGTTCTGAAAAGCAGAGTTGGTCCGCGGTCAAGGGTCTTCCAGCTTCAAAGCCCCAGGTCACTGAGACCCTGGAGAGGAGACACGAGGGCCCCGGCGGCCTGAAGGGGCCGACGGTCCCAGCTCACAGAGCAGAGGGCCACACCGCCAAGAGCTCACTCATTAGAATTAGAGGAAGGGACAGCCACTCCTATTTCCCCAGCCTGCTCCCCAGTCCCTTAGCTCATTTTTAAAAGACCCTCAACTGGAGCCCAGGATCGTCTAAGCGACAGACTTTCCAGGTTTAGTGAACTGTGTTTCCACGCAGAATACAAGAATCAGTCTAGGCTTTGCTTTTTCATTCTGTTGTCTGATGGGACCATCCACTTGAGGCTGAGGCCCAGCATTTAAAAAATGTTTTAAAGAACCATCTGTTCAGCAAGCTCTTCGACCACCAGCCCAGCCGCATCTTCAAAGTTTTCAGATCTCCTCCCAACTAGATGAAAAACATTCTTTCCAGCCTCCTGACTGCATGTGAAACGCCTCATATTCAGGGTCTGCTGTGTAACCAAGTAATTATCAGAGTCCACCCACAAGGGGGTGAATTTGAATCTCAAAAGATCTGAGTTTATTCTACTTGAATAGTATAGAGATTACACATTGAAACTGCCCAGTCTAGTATTTGGTGAATTGGAAATTATTCCAATCACTGCAGTGCATAATTTCTATAGAATGGGTTGTTCGCCACCCACCCACACCTGGCAATTCAGGTACTACTGACTCTTAACTGATTTGTCATTTTGCTCTTCAATATATATTTAGAATCAAAGTTATTTAGATTTCAGCTTTAGGAGCAACTTCAGATTTTCTGGAAACATTTACATTTATGAAGTCCTGTCCACTAGTTTGTATGGAGAAATAGGCTGAAGTTGCCAAAAGCTCCGATTTTCACGACAGTGTCTAGTATCACGATCACCAAATTTCAGTATTCATGGTTGTTTTAAGTATCACTGAGAACTAAGAAAATAAAGGGAGTCAGCTTCAGAGCTTATAGCAGTGCTTGCCTTGCTTTGCTCCTGAACTTTGAAAATCAGTTTATTTCAAAGCCTTAACTTAGGAACAACCTCCTCCCACTGCAATTCAGAGTTTATGGGGGCAAGTATGATACAGCACCTTTCCCAAATCCCAGCCTGGCAAGGATGCAGGACTCCAGACCCTTGGTCCTAAGAGGAAGCCTCCAACGCCCAGTTTGTAGTGGTGATTTCACTACTTGGTGAAGCTGGGGGAAGCTAGGAGAGTTGAAAGAAGTTGAAAGAGGGTCTGATAGATCCTTGAAATTGTATTGTAGCATGCCAAGAAACCCTGCCTTGACTTGAGGTTGAGACTGAGGCTGAGGCTGACCTGGTGAGGCAAACTTTGTGAGCATGCTCACAACGCCAGCTGCAGGGCCAAAAGGGACTTGCATAGGCCATGCTAGCGACTTCTAGGTCCGTGCGGGTCTGTCCTCCCACCACATCCCCGAAAGATGGAGAACGGTGGTGGCAAAAGGCCAGCTGGCACTCATTTATCTCTCCACAGGTAGACTTTTCAGGAAAGAAAAAGTCTCACAAAATGGGAGGGATGCGCGAGGGAATAGTGGCTGGGGACCGGGGTATTAAAAATCCATGCTTTAAAAAATTCACGGAGGAGCTCGTGTCACGGAGGGAAGCCCTTTACCCTGCTTTGAAAGTCTAGTCCAGGCCGACACCTTAGCTTAGCAGCGAACTGAAGGGGCACTGGAGGAGCAGAACGTCTCAAGCGAGAGTAAACGGCCTTTTTTAAGAACCAAGGGAACTCCTCGCCCAGAAGCCTAGCCCTTGGCGCTGCAGGCCTCCACCTGGAGGACCGGAAACGCTCCCTGGAGGCAGCCTTATTTTAGATCCCCTGGAGGGGTGTCAAAATCCCCGCCAGCGATGGACAAGGCAAGGAATCTGTCACTGGAATTGATTCTTGCCAGAGATCCGAGGGCACACAAACCTTCCTGGGGTCGCTCCGCAAGAGAAGGAAACGGTGGAGTCTCCATCCCAGAGGCAGACGCAGAGGAAGGGGCGGCGGTACCAGGCTCCCAGCGTCAAGTTCATTACTGCCCTCCAAGTGCACCCTTTTTCCGCCTTCAGAACTCCCTCCTTTTTCCGAGCACTCACTCTGGTCCTTGGACCCTTCAGTTCTGCTGGCCAGGGACCCCTATTGAAGGCAGGGAGCACCTAGCTGAGTGACGTTGGATCGGCCTGGGCGCCCCCGAGAAAGCTCTCTCCGAAAGGAAGCTGTGGGAGGAGTTCTCGGTGTCTAAGATGGGTTACTTGGGAATGGTTCTGGGTTCCCGAGGCCGCAGTATGAAGAGAGCCAAGTGGCTGCGGGAAGGGAAAGCACTTGAGATGCAAGTAGGAGGCACCGGCTCTGTGTGGTCTAAACGCCAGAGCCAGCGGTGTCTGGACTGACCCATAAATACACCCACCGCGGGCGGACAGGCGCATCTCATCCTCTGCCGGGGACATCTTAGCAACTGCCACTCTACCTCCTAGTGGACGCACACCTGGAAACCCACCCTGTACTTACCGCTGCGGGAACTGTAACTGGTGGCGGAGACCAGAGACTAGAACCAGGGAGGCCTGGGAGTCGGTGGTGGGGTCGGGGATACAGCTCTATTCAACTACCTTGCGCCTTCTCAATTTCTCTGCACTCCCTCTGCCAACTTCTGGCAAACTTCTCTCCTTTCCCCCCACCTCCCCTCCATCTTTTTCTTTCCGACGAGACGGGTCTCCAGAGCTCGCCCTTCCCGGTTCTGACTTTGTCTTAAAGTGTTGATTGACGGTTGCAATTACGAAGGATGATGGCTCGGGGAGGCTCCCGCAGCCTTGATGAGCCCGAGAAGCGCAGTCCTAGCATATTTTATCCACGCTCGGCGTTACGGGGCCGTGAGCGCGCCATTCACCCAGCTAGCTGGAGCGGAGGAGGTCTCGCACTCCCCACTCGCTAGGATGCAACTGCCTGCCCTCCTCCGCCTCCACCTTCCCGTGGTTCAGCGCCGCATTTCCGAGCGCGCGCTGGGAGCAGTCAGCCCTCCTGACCTGCGAAGTGTTGGTCGGTCCCCGCGCGCTGGACCTGTGCGGGCTGCAGAGGGACAAAATACCCGGATTTTCAGCAGCGTTTCAAGTTTCCTGGGCTCTCAAAAAGTGTGGCAGACACACCTTGCCCTCGCGCCTGGGTAATGACCCACCCAAACTCGCACGAAACTTGCAAAACCTTCCTTCTTGGCAACAATTTCTCCTGTCTTCTCTTCCATTCCCACCTTTTGGTGCTTTTAAGAAACCAGGACAATTACTTTTTTCTTCCAACATCTCTATTTTTTAGACCTCGGAAGAAGTCTAGATTTTTTTCAGGTCTCCATTACCAGGCCTGGATAGCCCAAGGGGGGAGAGAAGCAAGTTTATCAGCCTACGGAAGCTCCGGGTCTGCCTAATTTTTCCGCCCCTCCCAGCCGAAAAGCCCATCAGAAGCCGCTTTTGCCTTTCTCTGAAAAGTTTAGCCAGAATTCCACTTTCATTCCTGGGCTCTGGGGGCTGGGCTACCCGCCCACACCCGTAGGCTCCACCCGCCCTTATCCGGAGCGCTTTGTAATAAAAAGAGACCGCTTAAATTTCAGTACAGCCATATGAATTACCAGGGAGCGTCGTGTTGACCGAAGCTTTAAAAAAAGCAAACTTGAATAGGTGAGAAGTCGTGCCCAGCTAAAAAAAAAAAAAAAAAAAAAAAAAGCCTTTCTGCTGCATGTGTAAATATCTACTTAAGACATCAACATGAGCCCCTAGAGCAGGAGGATGGCCACTGATTCACAGTCACTATGAGAGAGTATCTTGACCTGGCGCGGCGCGGTTTTTATCTCGGAGGAAAACGAAAGCTGAAGCAATTATCTAAGCAATTATCTGAGCAATCCAACCTACCCCATTCACCACCCAGGCAACCTCCCAAACTTGCCCCAAAGGAAACAAGGGGTTTTTGGAGTTTGACCTGGATATTGGAAGCTACTCTGCTCTTTATATAAAAAGAGTTCACTGAAGAACCTATTCACTTCTTTTCTCTTTTGAGCATGTCGTCCCAATCCAGGTGTCCTGGCGCGCCCCGCCTGGGTATAGGAGGTGTCTTACAAGGGTGTAACAGCGATACCACGTCTTGAGAAAGGAACGGAGCAGGGGGAATCATCTCGGGTAGGTGGTCCAGTCTAATCTATCTCTTCCTCTCAGTCATTGAAATGGAAATTTGAGCCAGCTCCAGCTCAAAACTATGAAACTCCATCCAAGGAACCAACCCTGTCCAGCTTCGGGGCCAACAGAACGACGATCCCGGCGCTTCCAGGCCACAAAGCACCTTGTGAAACTAGTTGAACACTGGCAGTTGCATCTTCACACCCTCTCCCCCAGCCTCAAACTGGGTCAGGAACTAAATCCTTAGCATGAGATTATTCTAGGCTGCCATTCGACTGTATCCGGGGATATTGCAAAACTTTTCGATGGAAGGGGTAACGTCCTACAATGCTTCAGAATTCCTTGGCTCTTGGAGCCAGGAAATGGACCCAACCAAACTTCTTCCTTCAGAGAAGCCCCCGAGCCAGGAGTTTCTGATTCTTAAGGTCAAAGAGTGCCGGGCCCGCAGAGGTGTGCGGTCCAGCAATTTGGGTTGCACCTGGCCAGCACAGAAAATGGGAGTTTGGAAAGGCAAGACTTAACAGTTATACCGTCACCATTAAGCATGAGGCTTGGAGCTAGGGAAAGTGTTACGGCCTGGACAGTTACAGAGGTTGCACAATTAGAAGGGCGTGGGTTTTTCCAACACTGAGATAACTTCTGCGATTAAGAGATGGTGTCCAGTGTATACCAAGGCTTGAGACAGATTCACTTGTTTTCCCCAGGGTTTCTTGTCTGGAAACTAGGTCCTTGATTCCAGGACCAAGCGGTGGATTCCAACCAATTTTCTTTCCATTCCTATAGAGGCTGCTGAAGGAGGTGGAGCTTGCAGGGGGACTGGGAAGCAGAGGCTGCAGGCATCCAAACCCTGAGCAAGGAATCCAGCACCTGTGAAAAGTGCCAGCACTGGTGTGGGACTAGCATACCTCACTGCGGGAGGCACAGCTGGGTTTGTCAGAAGTGCTTTATTATTATGATTATTATTTAAAAGAACCTAAATTGTCTTTCCACATCCCTTCCTTTTATGGGACAACAGTGTGTGTTTATGCTATCTAATTCAGTCACTCGGTTTGAGTGGATTTTCCTGCCTTCCTCATTCCCGCTGCCTCTATAACAAGTACCTGCTCTGAATTTCCTCTCAGTTCATTCTCACCATCTGTTGGTAGCCCTGGGAGTTGTTACCACACACCACAAACTCACAAGCTAAACTTCATGCAAACTCCAGAGATCCTTTCCAGGAAACTAGAGCAGGGGACCAGAAGTGCCTTCGCCCCACCCCACCCAGACTACAGTACTCTCAGAGGCAGTTTTCACTCTGCTCACCACACACCACCCTATCCCACCTTCCTGAATTCTACAAGGATCCAAATCTGATTTCTACTGTGGAATGGAAAGAAAGATAAAAAGCCACTCACAAATGTCTTTCTTAAGATCAAAATATCTTTTGGAGGAAAGTCTGTGTAGACCAACATTGTATTAAATCAAAATTCCTTTCTATCAACAAGAGCAAGTGGTTACTACCTTAGAGAAAGAGTATGTATTTCAGAATATTTCTGGGGTTCTATTAACAGTTCATTCTCTTGACAAGTTGAATGATCTTGAGTAAATCACTTGACCTCTGATTCCATGCTTTAAATCAGTAAAATTGGTCTAACAAAGTAAATTTTATTGTTAAATGAGACAGTGCCAGGAAAGAAATATACTATGCTGGTAATATATATCAGTTTCCCTTTATCTTTCTTTTCCCTTAGCTTCACTCAAACTCATCATTCTGTTAAAAAACAAAACAAAACAAAAACCTAAAAATGGAATCACTAACCATTCTAGGACCACTTCCAGTGGGATGTGCTTGCTAACTTGATTGTCTTGCAGTGCTTCACACAGTCCTCAGGGACGATTACATTATCACCAGATAAGACTGCTCATATAAGTGCTCATGGTCATCTGTATTCATGTTATTTTGTGTTTCAATAACAGTTAAACTCCAAATATCTTTTCTTACTTATCAACTACACAGAAACATACATAATAGCTTCCCAAAAGACTAAAAGAGAGGCAACCTTTATCAACTTGCCCTGTCAGTTTCAGTTCACATGGTTTTCTCAAGCTTGATCTCTTAAGATGATATTGATCATATTTCAACTCTTCCCCAGGGCCTCCCCAGAGCACAATGCCCCCCAAACTCCAAAAGTTCCTTGAAGCCAATTGGATTTCTCTAAGAAGTCTGTTCCAGAAAGATGTATCATGAGGAAGTGCAACTCAAAGAACTAGCTCTATCCTAAGGTAGGCTCTAGACCTGTGGCATGAAGGTGTCTTGCCTGCCTAGAGCATTCCTGGGGGTGGGAATTGGGTTGAGCCTCTAGGTGGAAGTCTGACGCTGCCCTTCTTTAGCTCAGCTCATGTTCAAGGCTGAATCCAAGATAATCCTAGACATTGTTTCTGGTGGAGGGGTCAAGCAAAGGAGAGAAGCATTAGTAAGCCTCTGCTCTCCCTTCCTCTATAAATGTCTCTTGGTTTATTAGAAGATGTGTTAAAGAAATCCTTTCTTTTTTTTTTTTTTTTTTTTGAGATAGGGTCTCACTTTGTCACCCAGTCTAGAGTGTAATAGCACCATCACAGTTCACTGCAGCCTCCATCTCCCTGGCTCAAGTAACCTTCCCATCTCAACCCCCAAGCCCTAGTCACTGGTACTACAGGCACATGCCACCACACCCAACTAATTTTTTTTTTTTTAGACAGAGTCTGGCTCTGTCGCCCAGGCTGGAGTGCAGTGGCATGATCTTGGCTCACTGCAACCTCTGCCTCCCGGGTTCAAGCAAGTTTCCTGCCTTGAACCTGTAGCTGGGATTACAGGTGCGTGCCACCACTCCTAGCTAACTTTTGTATTTTTAGTAGAGGTGAGGTTTCACCATGTTGGTCAGGCTGGTCTTGAACTCCTGACCTTTTGATCCACCCATATCTGCCTCTCAAAGTGCTGAGATTACAGGTGTAAGCCACTGTGCCTGGCCTTTTTTTTTTTTTTTTGGTAGAGACTGGGTCTCACTATGTTGTCTAGTCTGGTCTTGATCTCCTGGGCTCAAGTGATCCTCCAGCCTCAGCCTCCCAAAGTGTTAAGATTATGGGTGTGAGCCACTGTGCCTGGCCTAAGAAATCTTTTAACTCTGGTGACAACTGTGCATCCAGGCCCGAAAAGAAGAATCTGAGAAGCACTGTTTTGGAGATGGGCTGGGGCATGGAAAGAAAGGAGGCTCCAGAGTTAAGCTTTCTAGAAGAAACTGGCAGCCTAAGCCCCAGCTGTGAGAATCAGAACATGGGCATTCTAAATAAAGCTGGCTAGAGGTTAGGGTGACATAACGGCTATCACATTTTCCACTGAATGACGTCTACTTTCAGAGATCCTTATGAGCACAGAGCTTGCTGGAGGTTATCACTGAAGTAAAATCAGACTCTAAGAGTGTTCAGAGGACCAGATAGCAAGACTCACATTACAGACTCAATACAGTGTCTGCACTGTGTTTCATGTACCCTAAATATGTAGACATAACCTTATGTGGATAATATGTGATATTATACTGAGCGCATAAAATATTCTGCAAGTGTGCTTAATTTGAAGAATTATGGAAATTTGATATGAATCAAAGCATAATGTTGGACACATTGTGGGGATGGTCAATAAATACTTGTTTTATGTATAACATATTTGCTACCCCACAGATATGGCTCTTTTCTTGATATAGAGTATAAAAAGCCTCTTAAGTGAGTACTGCATGTTATTCAATAGAATCATCCCAGGTGGGAGAAAGAGGAAAACAGAGACCAGAAACCAAGAGTGTGGCCAGTGTCCCAGAGCTAGTTAACTTAAAGGGAACAGTCTGGTTATAACTTGAATGTGCTGCTTTTACATTACAATGAATGATCCTCTTGCAGGTAGGTAAAAGAAACAACTTTATCTTAATTCTGCTTTTCTATACAAGCACAGACATCTATAAAAAACTTCTGTCTGGCCAGGTGCGGTGGCTCACGCCTGTAATCCCAGCACTTTGGGAGGCCAATGCGGGTGGATTACGAAGTCAGGAGATTCAGACCATCCTGGTCAACATGGTGAAACCCCGTGTCTACTAGAAATACAAAAATTAGTGTGTGGTGGCGGGCCTGTGGTCTCAGCTACTTGGGAGGCTGAGGCAGGAGAATCGCTTTAACCCGGGAGGTGGAGGTTGCAGTGAGACGAGATTGCCACTCCACTCCAGCCTGGTGACAGAAAGACTCTATCTCAAAAAAAGAAAAGCACACACAAAACAACAACAAAACACATGGAGACAGGTTTTTAAACAAAAGGAGGCCCATTTCCTGGTACAACACAACTGAATTAAATGTAGAATTGTAAACCCTGACTGATGTCTACACACACCGAGCTCAGTCTTGTGAACCACTCCCTAGCCCCCAGCCCAACTTGCAATTCGCCCTCTGAAAGCTATCCCGAGACCCTCAGACACTCTGTACAGCTGCAGCCGTGGGCTCTTCTCAGTAGGCCTGCCCTGGGCCATCAGAAAGACCTATTCAAAGAGCATCTCTTTCCCAGGAATCCGGGTCAGGCCCTTCAATCCAACAGTTCAGTCTGAGGGCTCCTCACCGCCCTCTCTTCCTCTCCCTCAGCCCTTGGGATGGCTCTGCTCAGCCATTCACCCTGGGAACGACCGTCAGCACCCTCGTGGAGGCCACGAGGTAGACAGAGGTTCTCTCGGTGCCAGCAGCCGCCTCCGGGTCACTGAGATGTTGCAGATGCGGGCATGTCACAACCACCTGCGGGGCTGCAATACCAGGAGGCGAAGGGAGTGTGCTTGGGTTGGGAAGGGGCGGGTGGCTGCGAACAGGATCCTGAAAGAGGTCTCTTTTACCGGGAAATTGACTGGAATGTTGTTATCCCGGAATCTAGCGCCCAGAAACGCTTGCACAGGTTTAGGATATTGGGGTAGGCTCGCTGAGGCCAAGGGAGAGCCTTCTTTGGCACTTTTCTTGACGTTCAGTCCCCAGCAACCCCTCCTGGGCGGGACCGACAGTCCTCGGGTTCCCGGCCCTCTGCTGCGGGACCGATCCCAGAGCTGCAGGTGCTCTGTTTACCCTCACAGCATACCCGCCTCGGGCCCAAGCGAGGTGAGTCGCGGGTGCCGTCGGTGGAAACGCAGTTCTCCCACGGAGGGAGTGAGAAGCGCAGCAGCGTCTCCTCCCCCTACGTCACCCCATTCACCCGTGGGGTCTTGGGGAGACCGCGGGGGATCGGCGTGTGTGGCCTCCCGAAGCAGCTCGACTTTGGGGCTGCGCGCAGCGGGAGCCCAAGACCGCCCGCGCGGGCGCGAAGCCCGGAGCGCGCGTCCCTGGTGCGCGCGCAGTTCGCGTCTCCCGCCCGAGCGCGCTCCAGCGGCGCCCCCGACTCGGAGCCCCAGCGGCGCGGAGCTCCCGGGAAGGACGCCTGGCCTGAGCACCGCGGCTGTTCTGCCGGACGGAGAAGATGCGAGATCGATCTGTGCGTCTCTCTCATCTTTCTTGTGCCCGTTTTTACTGTGTTATCTGCAGAGCAGTTGATTCTGTGTTACACCCCACTTGCCTTCCCCGTGTTTTCTTGATTGTAAGTTCAGAACATTTTTGGTAAACATTTCCTCAAGTGATACACTTTAGGGTGTAGTTGGCCCATAAAAAAAGCAATCACTGCATTCTGTGGAGTCAGCTGACGAGGAAGGAAAAAAGACGAAAACTCAAGCCTTGATTTTCTTTCACGTTACAACGGAGCTGAGATTCAAAGCTCAAGACAGAACCCTGCAAATTCGGAGGGAAATTCCGATCCGAAAGACTAAAGTGCTACAAGAAAAGGCACAGATCCTTCAAAAACTGGGGAAAGGAAGAAGGACATGATTGCCAACACACAGATAATTACAGACCACTGGGAATCACATCCCTTCACTCCTTTCCTTTTAGGGTTAATTGAATGTAGTCTTGTTATAAAATTCACGAGTTCGTAACTCTATTTTGTAAATGAAAAGTAGCTTTATTTACTTATTTCTGTTTGTAAAAACAAAATATACTCATTACTGCGAAAACCAGTAGCTCTTAACTTCAAATCCTTTACTAATGATGGCCTAGTTTGTTTTTTTTTTTTTTTTTGGGGGGGGCATGACTTTCATTCACTAGGAAAATTAAATTGAAACTTTTTTACAGTATAAGCAGAGAATGAGACACCATACTTTTGTGTGGCTTGAAAAGTAACAAATACTTGAAACCTATGTGTTAAAGTTTGATCAATGATCACTCAATATGACTAACTTGTTTCAAATTGTTCACATTTTAGCTTATTATTTCTGATTAAAAATCACAGAAAATATTAAGGTTGAAATTGATAAATTATAAATTATATTTTCTGGCTGTTTAGGCTAATAGAATGACACCAGTAAACACTAGATATAATGAATAATATTTATATGTTAAAATATCCATTTGCTTTTTTTGAACTGCAAGAAAGATAAATGTGCCATATATATATATGGGTTTATTACGTGCTTTTAATAAACCTAATAGGAAAAGCTGTGACTGAAAATGCAAAATCCATCAGTGAGATTAAATTATATGTATTAATGTAGTAGCAGAATAAATAGATGATCAGTAGAGCAACTCCTACTTACCAACAGGTGTAAGTCCATGCTTTAAAGACTCTTGTAAATCCCCAGTATCTGAATTAGAAGTCATTCTTAATAAAATTATAGGCAATTCTTTGGCTCAAGGCAGAAATCATTGAGGAAAAGAAAAAGTGCAGTTTGTCAAATTTCGTGGCCTTGAGAAGGACACATCAGATTACATTTACTCGTAGTGAAAGTTAAGAAAAAGCAAAAGAGAAAAAAAAGGGGGGGAAATCCAGAATTCATAAAGTTACAAGCAAGTCTTTCCCTGGACTCTGTACTTTTTCTAACATTAGTGACCTGCTGTAAACCATGTATCCAGTTTCATGATGGTTTCTAATCAGAAGAATGGAAACTTTTGATAGGCTTTGACTCATCACATGACTCTATGCAGGTTGATAAGAGGACCCTGTTATAAAGTGACAGCAAAAGAGATAAGAATTCTTGCCAGATAATGGCAAAGAAATGATTAACTCAGAAGTGGAGAGGTGCTATGCAGCACAGAGAGTGGAAAGTTGTAAAACTGAGGGGTCAGAAGATCAGACTCAGTGGATACAACTCCAAACCAGCTAACTAACTTAGGCTAACTAAACTTTGGCTTGTGACATATCCCTTGATGTCATCACCTCTTTGCATAGAGGTGGACAGACATAGCTCTTCTGACCTCTGTAAATACATTTTAGATGATAACATTGATAGACATTAATTCTTTAAGTGATGACAAATGTAATCGACACTCTGAAATACTACAGGTAGCACTTCCAAGCTTACGGTCATTTATTTATTCATGTCGTGGTCAACCAACGTTTTTAACAGTCCTATTTATTAAAGGAGGAGTTAACCTTAGCTTGTTTCTATATTGATCATTTGGCAAAAATGCAAGCTATGACTTTATTCCAAAAAAGTAAAACTTATGCTTTGAGATTAATGCTAGCAAAATGCTGAATATGTAATACATCTTTCGTAAAGTTATTATTCTTAGGCCAGGCATGGTGGTTCATGCCTGTAATCTCAGCACTTTGGGAAACCGAGACAGGAGAATCACCTGAGTTCAGGAGTTCGAGGCAAACCTGGCCAACATGGTGAAATCCCATCTCTACTAAAAATGCAAAAAGTAGCCAGGCCTGGTGACACTCATCTGTAATCCCAGCTACTCAGGAGGCTGAGGCAGGAGAATCACTTGAACCCGGGAGGCAGAGGTTGCAGTGAGCTGAGATCCCGCCACTGCACTCTAGCCTGGGTGACAGAGCAAGACTCCATCTCCAAAAATAACAATAACGGTGAAATAACAAAACAAAACAAAAATTATTATTTTTTTTAAGACTGGATCTCAGCCGGACGTGGTGGCTCACGCCTATAATGCCAGCACTTTGGGAGGCCGAGGCGGGTGGATCACTACATCAAGAGATCGAGACCATCCTGGTCAACATGGTGAAACCCTGTCTCTACTAAAAATACAAAACTTAGCTGGGCATGGTGGCACAGCCTGTAGTCCCAGCTACTCGGGAGGCTGAGGTAGGAGAATTGCTTGAACCCAGGAGGTGGAGGTTGTGGTGAGCCAAGATCATGCCATTGCACTCCAGCCTGGGTAATAAGAGCAAAAGTCCATCTCAAAAAAATTTAAAATATTAAAAAAAAAAAAGACAGTCTTGCTCTGTGGTTCATGCTGGCATGCAGTGGCATGATCTTGGCTCACTGCAGTCCCCACCTCCTAGTTTCAAGCAATTCTCCTGTCTCAGCCTCCCGAGCATCTGGGATTACAGGGCACACCACCATGCCCAGCTAATTTGCATTTTTAGTAGAGACAAGGGTTTCACCATGTTGGCCAGGCTGGTCTTGAACTCTAGACCTTCGGTTATCCATCTACCTCAGCCTCCCAAAGTGCTGGGATTACAGGCGTGAGCTATTGCGCCCAGCCAAAACCCCCAATTTTGATATTGACATTTTTTTAAAGTTAGTAAATGCAGGTTGTATGTATACAGATAATTTAAACTCAACATATAAACATTTGTTGTAATAAAACTTCATAT